AGAGTATAGGCGTCTTAGAGGTGATTTATTAATGGCTTATAGTATTCTTAACACTTCTGGACATCCTCTTAAACACCTACTTAAGCTTAGTTCGAATAACAACCTAAGGGGTAACACCCAGAAACTGGAAACACAACATAGCAAGACGGAATGTAGACACAATTTCTACTCCTTAAGAGTTGTCAAAAGCTGGAATTCGCTGCCAGCCGAGCTAGTCCAAGCGACTTCTCAGGAGTCCTTCAAGAGGCAACTTGACCTATTCTTAAGGACCAAGAACAGCATCACATTATGATTTACCAATCTCTTTTCCTCTTTTATTGTTAACATACCTAGGTTCCTGCCTGGAGGATTTGGTGATCCCCTGCTACTAGACACGGAAGCCTGTTAAGCGAAAGCTTCTTCTATTCCGTCCACAACCATTTGAACCATTTGAACCATTTGAATCTGAAAGGCGGAATTTCTGACATTGGCGTTACGTAATGGTTTCAACTGATGGTAAAGCAACAATCTTAAACTATGTCAGGAATTGCTTTGCATCTGGAGATGATTCGGGATTTTGCGAAAAATTACTTAAAAACGTTAAAGATGTCACAGATGAAGAAATTGAAAATATTTTAAGTGGACAGTAGTAAGTTCTAGTATTCTTCTGTTTTTAATGATATATTTGTTTAAGTTTTAATGAAGTTGTAAACACGGACTCCGATGATTTTTATAGGCATTCCCCAGAATATGCCTTTGTACCTTGTGAAGGTTTGTCTATTTCTCACTCTCTTATTTCAATCTTCAGATCCGTTAAGCGCGTTTTACTCCTCCATTAATAACTTTGAGAATTCTCAGCAGTCATCCCTTTCATATAAAAGGAATGCATCCAATATTCGACAGCTTTCCGGTAAGTTATCTCTATCGTTATCAGATTTCCTAGTCTTCAGCATTCTAGACTAAACAGACGGGTAATTTTGTTATTCTCCTGATACAGGATTACCTCCTCGTTAGGGCGGACTTTTCGCCTCAAACTGAGTTTGGCTTAACTTTATTCTAAAAATATATTTGTCCAGTCGTCTTGTTGAGGACTTGATTTATTGGCGTATAAACCGTTACCCATAAAAACTCCACCTTCTACACGTGTTCTCTGCAATCACGTCAATTTAAAGGACTCGTTTTATTGATGGTTGTCTAACACACCACGGTCAAAGTGATCATTGTAGCTTATAAGTTCGACTGTCAGCTGAATGTTAGGTATATTGCCTACAGTTTAAGTTTAAGTCATCTCTATGCATCAGTAATCTTAAAATGTACGGATCCCAGTCAGTCAGTCAGTCAGTAACAACGTAGAACTTCGTACGTACGTACATCAGTTCGAGTTGCCACACCACATTAGCACAGAGATGCAGTTGTCGATTCAAATCCCGTAGTGGTAGAGGTAGTAAGAGTATAAGCAGTAATCGGGAAGATTAGGGTTTGGAGATGTTATTTAAAGAGTATAATCCAGTGAAATAAATTTGGAAAGAGGAAAAAAGGGACATGAAGGATTCAGAAGATTAGAATTTGGGAGAACACAGAGAGTGGATGCACCTGCGCCATTGCAAACGATTTTGAGCCATGTCATTCAGGGTCTCTAACCATCGGTTGCTATCATCTCGCGGTCCCCAACCAGGTAGTCTACACCTACCAACATGACTCAGTTCACTTGTCAGTGACTTCATGGACTTGTGCCATGTTTTGGTTTGGCCGCCCCTAGCTTTCTTCCAACCTACTCCTATACCACTGAACATAGCACGTCGAGGCAGTCGGTCGTTGGGCATACGTAACACGTGTCCCAGCCATCTCAACTGATGAAGTTTCACTACTTCATCAATTGATTTGCCATCCTTACCTAGTACCCGTTTCCTAACAACTGTGTTACTTACTCGATGGTCCCATGATATACGAGCAATATTTCGAAGACACCTATGATCAAATACTAGTAACCTACGGATATCCTCTACTCTTACCGGCCATGTTTCACTGCCATAAAGTAGGACGGAACGAACTGCTGCGCAGTAAACCCGTCCTTTGGTTGATAGACGGATATCTCGCCTACGCCATAAATGACGCAAGTTGGCAAAAGCTAGTCGAGCCTTCTGTATCCGTGCTGAGATTTCGTCACACACCAAACCACAAGGGCTGATGAGACTTCCAAGATAAGTGAAGCGGTCGACACACTCAACTACTTCACTCCCTATCACTAGTTCGGGTGTCGATGTAACCCAATCCTGAAGCAACATTTTGCATTTCGAGGGAGAGAATCGCATCCCGAACATGCTTGCATTGTTGCTTAGAGTGGTCAGAAGACTCTGCATTTTGTCAGCGTCTTCACCAAATAAAACTATGTCATCAGCATATTCTAAGTCAACAAGTGAACCTCCTGGTAGAAGTTCAACCCCTGGAAATTTAGATGAGGAGAGTGTTATCTCTAAAAGTACGTCGACCACAAAGTTGAACAAGAATGGGGAGAGTGGACAGCCCTGACGAACACCACTTGAGGTAATCAATTCTGATGACAGTTCGCCATAAGCTCTCACTCTACCAGTTGTGTTCGAGTAGAGAGCCTTTATAAGGTTAATGTACTTCTTTGGTACTCCTTTCAGTGACAAACACTGCCATAGAACCTCACGATCAACAGAGTCGAATGCCGCCTTAAGGTCGAGAAATACTACCATTGTGGGGCGTCTGAATGTGTGTCTGTGTTCTAGAACCTGACGTAGTGTGAATATCTGATCTATACAACCACGTCCAGGTCGAAAACCAGCCTGGTTTTCTCTAGTCTGCTCTTCACGAGCTTTGATTAGGCGTCGAAGTATTATTGAAGCTAATATTTTAGACACTATATTAGTCAAACTGATTCCTCTGTGATTGTCACAAGAGGACTTTTGTCCTTTCTTATAGACTGGCACAATCAGTGATTGAGACCAGTCAGATGGGATTACGTCCAGTTCCCAAATTCTACCTAAGACCTCAGTTAATCTCATTGCTAATACTGGACCACCATCCTTAAAAATCTCAGGAGTAAACCTGTCAGGGCCTGCTGCTCTCCCTCGTTTCAGATTTCCTATGGCTTTTTCAACTTCGTAAAGGGACGGAGGACCTACATTAACTTGCCATTCAGGTTGACTAGAGATCGTGGGAAACCGAAGTGTGGCTGAAGGCCAGTTGAACTGATCCCTAAAGTGTTCTGCCCATCGATCCAATCTCCTGGATTGAGAATGAATAATATGTCCATCTTTCTCTGAGATTGTTTCGCTAACGGTCGGGTTCCTAATTCCGGTTTCCTTAACGAGTCTGAACAATTGTCTGCTATTACCTATTGCCGCTGCCTTTTCCATCTCTCTTGCTTTCGCTACCCACCACTGTTCGCGATCATTGCGTAGACTTCTTGTCAGCTTGCGCTTAAGCTGACTCCGCTCTTCATTATGTTCAGAGCCAGGTGGAATGAGTTTCCGAGCATCTATCAGTGCGATAGATGCTGCTGAGATCCAGTGTTGCTCCCTAACCTTCTGGTTTACCTTACTAGCAGATATCACTGCTGTTTCCACAGCTTTTCGGATATCATTCCATGCTGCATCGGGGTGGGCATCACATACATGGCTGCCTAACTGTTTTCCTAGTTGTTCCTGAAATATACTCTTAGCTTGACTATCATTAAGTAGGCCCTAAGAGGTTTCCTTGCAGCGTCTTTCCTACGTCCAGTAAGACGCAAGCAAATACGCGCTCGCACTAGAGCATGATCTGAATCTAGGCATGTGCTCCAGAATGAGCGACAGTCTTCTATCGAGCCCCTCCATCGGTGGCTGATAGCGATGTGATCTATTTGGGTCCAACGTTGGGACGAATTAGGGGGTCGCCATGTTAAAAGATGTTTTTCCTTATGCTTAAAGTTAGTATTTGCAAGGAACAGGCGGTTATCTGAGCATAGCTGCAACAGACGGTCGCCATTATCTGTTCTTTGAGCCACGACACCATAAGATCCACCTAGGTGTCTTTCCCTATCGCTTAGTTTACCTACTTGAGCATTAAAGTCACCGGCCACTATTACTACATCCGAGCGCCTAGCTTTTCGGAGAAGGTCCGAAAGCTTTCTGTAAAACTCATCTTTTACATCATCTGAGCTGCAGTCAGTGGGAGAATAGGCAGAGACGACGAAGAGGCAACGACGAGTGTCCCTATCTTTCCGGATTCTTACTGTTCCGTTCAGTCGGACAGCGCACAAACGACTGTCTACTGGGATCCACTCTAAGAGAGCTAGTTCTGCCCTAGGACTCAATGCTATACCTACGCCGGCGAGGCCACGGGAAGCAGAATCAGGGCTTCCAGATACACGAAGCGTAAATCGAGTCGGTTCTTTATTTTGGCATGGTGAGGTCAAATGAATGACGCTACTTGGATCCTGTATGCGCGTTTCGGAGACGCAGCACACATCGATGGCGCGAGATTCTAAAGTTTTAGCTAAGGAAGCCTGCTGTCCTATTTGGCAAAGTGTTCGTACGTTAAAAGCTCCTACGTGTAGTTTAGAGCGTGGTTTCAGGAGACCAGGAATGGCGTTCCACGTACTCGAATCGTTTGCCCTAGCGGTGCGAGGTGATAAAGAGACGTGAGGAGGGTTAGTCATGGAGATAAGAGAGGTATTAGGAGGTGTAGGAAGGATTTGAATGTGACCACCTTGGTCTCTTGTGCTGTTACGGGTATGAGGGCTGATGTCACTTCCCGGCTGCCCACACCGTGGAAGGGTATTTCTTGAGGAACCTGAAAAGGAAATTGGATTAGTGTTGGTCTTGACGACCTGGGAGCGTGACCGCAGAGCCCAAGGGACAACTGCTTGAGGCCGGTCGCGCACGGCCTTTTTGTGGAAGGTTTTTGACGTGTTAGCTCCGTTCTTCAAAGGGCCTTACCGCCGGAGACGGAAATCCGTGAGGTAAGGTGAGGTGTGACATTTTTAGGGTCGACCTTTTCTAACCCCACCCCTCCTTGTGGGAAGGCAGCATCGCTGTCATGCTGGTTGTCCGAGGGAAACACCTTACTGCTGTCACACCCTCTACAGTCAGCAGTACGACTTCGCCCTCAGACCTTGAGTTGCTGCTTTTAGTCTTACCGTTCACCAATCGACCTGCCTGGCATGGTAGAACCTACAGGAACATATGTTCCAGCCAATATAGCTCGGTTGGGTCATCACGATAGGCAAGCCCGACCACCGCGTCAAGGTAGCAGCTTCGATCGGGTCCCAACTTTTCATTAAAATATTCTACATTATTTCTACTAACACGAATGGGTTGTGATAAATTTTACTGTTACTAACTTTCATGACGAAAAGTCTTAAGAAGGTAGCTATTCTTATTTCAGCTCTTAATGGTGAATAAATCATTCTAATAAACAGACTTTTACCGCCACTATTGTCGTGGCTACTGTTTAGCTGAGGAAGTGGACGCGTATTTCCCATCAAAACCGATAGTCCGCACAAACAAACCCGATACAACAATAAAATCAGAAAAATCTGGGTTGACTTTGGCACTAGAACAAGCTAAGCTGAGTGGACATTTAAAAAGAAATAAACTATTCTCTGATTTTGCTATCTACGATGCTCGGTCAACACTTGCTACAAATCAGCATGTTCCAGATGGTCGCTTTCCCAATGCAAACGTAGATCCTTCTCTGCGCCAGTTCAATGTTTGGCTCTGGAGGCTTAATGGCTTCCCGCGCACGTCAATTAAAGTGCAGCCTCGAGTGGGTACTACAGTGCAACAGTTTATGGGGCTTACTTTATGGCAGTATTTTAATGAGTTTTCAACATCTGACAATGATTTGACACTTGTGCCAACTCAGTTAGATGATTTAGACGAGTAAGTTTTAAGCATTGCTATTGGAGTTTAGCTACATGCATGATTTTTTTAAAATTTTGATTATGTGTGGTGTTTATCCTATTTAACTTCATGTAAATTTTTGAAACACTAGTTAGTTTTTATTTGCAGGATAGTGATTAGCTGACGAACAATCCTATCGCACGTAAAGATAATCTGTCAGATCACAAGCGGACTATTAAGACCAATGACAGTAAGACCAGACAACGAAATCTTTACAAACACTATTTGTAGCAAAGTAGACAGCAACAAAAAGTCTGTCCAAATATTTTTCGTTTATAAGATAAATTGTAGCAACTATGAGGAATTTCATCTAGTGAAACTTGAGGTCTCTCGATCTGTATGTACGTGAATATCAGCAAGCTGTTAAACACAGCGACTTACATTCACTCCTATCAATACATGTAGACAACTGCGGGGATAATTCTTATTTGGAAGGGTCACAAAATTGTACCGAGGAGACAATAAAGCTTCGAGTTTTAAGAGGTATGTCACTCAGGTCACTCAGCAACCTGTATACGCATTAAAGTAGGTCCAACCGACGAAAATAAGAAATACAAAATCAAGGAAGAAGACAACCGACATAAATGTGCAAACAATATGAACATAGTTACTAACAGCAAGTAGTGAAATCTCATATCGGGAGAACAAGTGACTAGTCATCTGCGAAGGTTGTTTGGTAGCTGACTTCCTTTTGTGACGCATGTGCTGATGAACTCTACGAAGGCTTCGTAATTATATCACCTGTCTTAGAGAAAACAACGCATTTGAAATAAATACCGATATTGAACTATGTTTCAAGTCACTTTAAGTTCATGAAAACTAATAATGCCGTTGTTCGACTGCTCAAACCGAACTAGGTGGATTGGGATTGGGATGTACAAATCAGTGATTGAAAGCTTTAATTACTAAACCCGATGCTTAATTATCGCTTATTTGCTACATCTACTACTGTGGAATTCTCTATGACAACTTCATGTCACTATGTTAATGGATTATAGCAACTTAAACAGATATCTGCGTATGCCAGGTTCTACATTTCGTATGATTAACTGACCTCGTATTTTATTTATTGATTTAGATCATTTTTAAACCGTCTGGCTTTACACATGTTTGATACACTGGATGATGAATGTGACGATAGTGAAGATGTAGATTCAGAATTTCCACCGCTTGAATTGAATGATCCAATTCATAAATATGAATTTAAGTCATTTGCCCTGGTTGAACGAGTGGAAACACCATTGGCAGAGGCATCAAAGAAAGAAATTTCGCATGTGTTAGTCACAATGTAAGTGTGTGGATTTCTGTGTGTATGACTACAATTTTGTGTCATGTATAATAATGGGGGCTGATAATTTTTGCTGAGTACTTTTATTAAAATGATCTACGGAATATTGATCGATGGATGTTACTCATCATATTATTTAGTACGAACTCTAAACTAAGCTATAATCTATAGTATTAATGTTGTAATCAAAATATTTGGATATTACTATTCATTGTGGTGATTGATATAATGATTCAAATCTCCTGTCGGACTAACCAGAAATTTGGTTCCAGTTAATAGAATATTTAATCCTCAAGATTTTTCACATGCTTAGAAATGTTATGAGACTGTAGGGGTATCGCTATGAAATCATAAACACCGCACAAAATGAATAAACAGTAAAGGTAAAGGTTGTATAATTTGAAAAAATGAACAAAAACAGTGTTTTGCGAAATATATAGGTCAGTTTTTAAAATACAACTGAGATAGGTTTCATTGAAGTGGGAAATTTCATCTAACTCTTATGGGGAATTTATTAGAATACTACCGCAGCATCCCCATTGGCTTTTATCCTAAATCATGTTTGATAATGTCCCGAGTTGCATGGCTTGTAAGGATACAACTAAAGCACTGTGATGGACCAGCAAACCCAAACCCTATCCGGTTTTCTTTCATTCTACAGCGTCATATCCAAATTGATGACTACGTTCACCCCTCTTCCGAGACACCGAATTTCATTTTTCACTGGTTATAGTATTTTGAAAAGTTGTTTAGTACTGACCAAAACATGATATTGTTACATCCCGAGCCTCTTCGTTTAAATTTTGCCTCAGTCGTAGTAGTTATATTTAGAAAAACCAATGATAACCAATCAGTCGGTCAGCTACAACGTAAGACCAGGCACATACATGTATCGGTCCAAGTTGCCACTCCTCATTAGCACAACAAGATGAACACTGAATTCATAGAAGTAGTTACTTCAATGGTGGTAATATATAAAAGGAAGATTGCATATAAGAATATAATACAGGAAGAAAGAATTAGTTCGTAGAAAGAAAGGTTTAAAGTAATCTCATAGTTGAAGGGAGGACAGAGAGTGTGTACACCAACACCTTTGTGATCGATTCTGAGCCATGTCACCCTCAGTCTCCAACGTGGACCCTAACCAATTGGTCTGCATCTACCAACATGGCTAAGACTAGAAGTTAGTGACTTCAAGAACTGATGCTACATTTTGGTTTGTCCACACCTAACTTTCTCCCAACCATCTCCAACACTGGTCAGCATTGCGCGTCGTGGTAAGCGGTATTCAGGCATGCGTAACACGTGGCCGAACCACCTCAGTCGATGAATATTTACAACCTCATCAACTGATTTACTATCATTCCCTAATACCCTGCGTCTAACCTCACTATTACTTACCCGAATGATAACCAATATTTACATATAATTGTAGCTGACGTTTTCTGTAGAATTAGTTTAGATATAAATACTTTTTTCTTTGACTAAAACATCATAATTTTGTTAATCGAATTCTCAACAATTCCCTTAAATACAAATATAGACATATGGCTCAAGGTATGAGTGTACTCCGATTCCCATCGGATACGTGTCTAAGTACAGTGTTAGAACGTGCTGTATATCGTCGTCGTCTACGCCAGCATGGTGGTTATGCTTATCGATTGGAACTTTGGCCACGGAACACAGACCAACAGAACAACAATACAAAAAGCAATAATTTTCTATTGAATAAAAATTCACAATTAGATATGAGTAAACCATTGAGTTATTTTATTGCTGCTGGTTTACCGTTACACTTTCTTCTTGTTCGTGAAAGCAGTAAGTGTCGAATATTTGGATAATGTCAATCTTACTGCTTGGTATTTTTTGAACATTATACTTCACTCAGTCAGTCCTAAAACAGAACACAAGTCATAAGCGAACGACATTATACTCCAAAAATTCCAACAACAAAAGTAATTTATTAAAAAAACGTTAAAGTTTATGCAAATTTTACTTATAAATCCTACCTTAACTTCTCATTCCATTTAGTTCTGACTGGTTGGAAAGTGAGTGAATCAGCGCACTGGACTTGACCTTGACTTGGACATGGAATAGTCAAGACCGTATCCTGCTAACGATTTCCGCTTGTCTTTATTAGTAAGAATGGAGTGCTGGATAGGACTATATTGATCCCCATAGTTTATAGTATTATAAGAATATCCCAATGTTAAGCTTAGAGTGTCATTAAATGCTAATACCATATGTTTTGACACAGGATTTTAGTAGTGCACACAAAGGCGTGAAAAATTCGACGTTAGTTTTATTAAGGCTCCTGAAAATGCTCCTTCAAATAATCAGTTGGTTCAAGTTGTCAAATCTTACATCAGTACATCAAGAGAGGAAATTAACCAGAGTATGAAACAAAATAAAAAATAACCGTTATTTACTGTCAGGGAAAGTTATAATTCAAAAATAAGACCGACGAACGAGTTCATTCGGACCTCTGGGACTTGTTTTGGGTTAAATGACACATACGGTTTCCAACCATAGATTGGTTTAAGTCGCAAAGTTGTAAACTGTTACCGGCCACATCCAACATCTAGTAACTTTATGAACTACTGTTCCTATAACTTTGGTTGTCTTAAGCTTTTTTCTAACATACTCGTATGGTATTCATCATTACGCGTCCAGTAGAGATTATGGCTAGGCTTGTGTAACTCAGACATTTAGCACAATCATTTTTTCAGTTCAAATTGACCACATTCTCAATATCAGTGCATGTGATATTCGTTGTTTCTCTAAACGAGATCAAGAGCAGTTCCAGTCGAAACTTTCAAAAGTATTTTAACGTAAAAACATCAAAGGTTTCAAATGCTTAAAAAAATGACCTAATTTTAGAGAAAGCAAGTTAGGTTGTTACTCATTTTTGTCAGTTCTTACGTTATTTTATAAGTAGCTGACTAGTTTATGAGTTATTAGTTCAAATTAAATTGTAAGTAGTAGAGTCCAGGTTATTGGCTTTTAATTCCTTGTCTACTCAACTGTCATATAAACTCAACTTCACCAACTCAACTGAACTTTGAATTATCTTGAAGCATGATGATGTGTTAAAATACAAATTGCTTTCATCTTTTTCATGCAACTGTAGCCTTTTTCATCATTTGCCTGATTATTGTAAAATCCAGAACTGATGATTAATAGTTCAATCTCATAGTGTTGTAGCTAATGGGGATTAGTAGTTCCAAGATCAAGTATCCTGTATGTCTATTATTCAAATCCCATCCAATATATCGCCAATATTCTTCTACCTAGAATTATCATTGACGTAACAACGCACACATTTTTTTCCTCGTATTTGTTTGTTTGTTTTAATTTAGGTCGGTGTGATACAGCTCTTTCAGATCAAAACGATGAAATTGAAGCAACAAAGTCATCAGAATCGATGTTAGCGTTAGATACAACATTAGAACCAATTCATACAGCTTTACATTTAAGACAATATCAGGTGACTTATTTAAAAGGTCTTTTTCCACGTGAAGTTCAGCTAAGTATGTTATTTTTTCCTTAATCGTTAAATTGCTGTAGTTTTTCGTGATTTTATTGATGGTTAATTGTACTTGGCATACAAAATCGTAATGGCAATAGCTATGTATAGCTGTTACCATGATTCTATAGTTGAGTTTATCTATTGTGGTGATATGTCAAGGTGTATTGGCTCTAACAGTTTCCCCCTTACATTCTTCTATACCACCCAAATCATTTTTTAAAGTGATATAACCAAAGGTATGAAATTTCAGCTTCAAGGAATAAGTCATGCTGATAAATGTACTGGAGTGTAGTAACAGTAATTAGTTTTCTATTGGTAACCAGCATCTCGAGTGGTACTATCTCCCGACAGATAAACGGAGTGGGGTTAGAAAAACTACATATTAAGAAGAATAAAATGCCTCATCGTTGTCTCACCTATTTATATTGTCGATGTTACGGTTTATAAAGCACATGACCTTATATTATCAAGTTGAAAAACACTTAATTACAGAAGACTATCTATGATTGAAATCAATTAGTCATTATATAAACTATGTGGTCACCCTTATGGACCGGTGCTAATTTAGTCTTTTTCAGGTTTGTCAGTAAGAGAGTTGACTAACAGTTAGTGTATCTACCACCTAAACTAATCGTGACAATAGCAGTCGATTTCGTCTGTCACGAATAGTTGGGACTTAGGGCATAATATATTAATCTTCTCTGGTTTATACAGTTGATTTAGTCATAAATATACTATTTTCAATTAATCAGTCTATCATAAACAGTACTGACCCTAGCAGCATACATGTGCATCAATCCTAGTTCCCACAAAACACCTTTATAGCGAGACTAAATTCATATGATCCATAGCAAATAGTTCAAAATAATAGTAGTGTTGGTTGTCGTTGACGATTCTAAAAATAGAAAATTTGTCTCGAAAAGAAAAAAAGAGTCTGTGGACGAAAAAGTATGGAATAGAATTTTGGAAAAACCAACACAAAAGATAAAAATAAATACTTTCACTCAGTAGTGCGGCTGATTCATTTAACATGCCCAGCTACTGATCAAAATTATTGCAAAAAGTCCATTCAAGAACTTTGATTCACCATTCCAACAGTCATTGATTTCATAAATTGACCCCAAATTTTGATTTGGATGCCTTTAGTTTTCTTCTAATGCAATTGTACACGAGTTAGGATTTACAGTTGATTGATCACTGGGTTAGTTCACAGGAAATACCAGATGTAGGTTTCATGCTATTAGGCACTCGTCAGCGAGGTTTATCTTTTACAACTTAGGTTTACATATCTATTTAGGCTTCCACACAACATGCAAGATTAATTTCTCAAACACATCACCAAATACACTTGCGATTCTTATTATATCCGTACACAAATTATTCTAGCTTTTGGATGTATAATAAATCAGATAGCATTTAACTATTAGGTTATTTTTACCTTCTTACAATACCGTTTCTCCTAAATAATTCTGACCTTTTACAGATGTGCTTTTCTCATTCGTTTCCATGTTAATTATATTCATATATGTTATTGTGTTCTTTGTTTATGCGTATATCTGCATTGCATTCTTTATTCTATGTACGTGTGAATGATGTACGAGTCCATTATACACCATTATACAAAACTATTCAATGTTTACTGGTCTACAATGATTATTTAACTAGCAGCAATGTAATTTATCATCATAACTCTACAGATGTGAAGGCGCAGATCGGCAAAGCAAGAGCAACTTATTTACAATTGAAGAATATCTAGAACTCAAAGCAACTGTCAACGAACACCAAATTCAGAATTTTCAATACAAATGACAAGACAGTTCTACTGTATGGGGTGGCAACTTGAAGGACTACGAAAGCCATCATCCAGAAGATACAAATGTTTATTAACAGTTGTCTACGCAAAATAATTCACATCCGTTTACCAGACACTATCAGCAACAACCCAACTGTGGGAGAGAACAAACCAGATGTCATCGGAGGAAGAAATCAGGAAGAAGCGCTGAAAGTGGATAGGACACACATTGAGGAAAGCACCGAACTACGTCACAAAGCAAGCTCTCATTACTTAGAATCCTCAACTCGAAAGGCGAAGAGGAAGACCAAAGAATACGTTACGCTGAGAAATAGAGACAGACATGAGAAGAATAAACAAAAATTCGACAGAATTGAAAAGGAAGGTCCAGAACAGAATGAATTGGAGAATGTTTGTCGGCGGCCTATACTCCATTAACAGTAACAGGCTTAACTATGTAATGTATTATAAATGATCATCATAACTCCTACAACTTATCTATCATCACATTTTTCTCTTTATTTCTAGATATTTCATCAAATGAATTAAAAATTGAACAAAAACGTCCAAAATTATTTTCTAAATTAATGAAATCAATTATTATACAAATTAATACAATTGCTGATTGTGAATTAATCACTAATGGATATTCAACTTATGGTATAATGGATAAATCATCTATTACAATCCATAATCATCATAATATTGATGAATCAAATCCAAAATTTTCTGGTAATTTATGCACAGATTATGTAATAGGAGGAAATCATAAAACATCAAATAATAATAAACATTCTATAACAACTGAACAATCATCCAAATCATTTTTATCACATAAAACACAATTTAGAATTGTTTATATTGTAAGTGGGAATCAATTCAATTTCATTGTATTATGATTATCATTCAAATCATGAGTCAATTGAAACTAGACCACTATGGAAAACCTGGAAGTAGTGGACAACTGTTTCGTCCTAGTATGGGACTCTTCAGCAGTGCGCATCCATGATCCCGCCCCCAGCAAGGTTTGAACTCAGGACCTATTAGTCTCGCGCGCATTCGCTTAACCATTAAACTACTGAGCTGGCATCTAATGGTGTTAATGTCTAACCTCAATCAATTCACGAAATTGGACCACCGTACACCATTGTCTTCAGTGAGTTGATATCTCACAATAGACCTGGTTGAACTCCACTGGTAATAGCTTCTCACTAGAAATTCAGGAACTGCCTCTTGAAGTCAGTCACTAGTGAACAGATGATTATCAGAAGGGGTTTTGTGGAGATTTTAGTAATTTCAATACTTGAGATCATGAGCCAATTAAAGCTAGACCACAATGGAAAACGTGGAATCACTGAACGGCCGTTTCATCCTGATATGGGACTCTTCAGCAATGCTCCCGTTGGATCATGGATGCACACTGCTGAAGAATACTATACTAGGATGAAACAGTCGTCCATTGCTTTTAGGTTTTCCATGATGATCTAGCTTACATCGACTCATGAATTCAACTATAAAATATATTTCTTCATTAAAATATTCTAAATAATTAATCCCTTCGATAAATCTGATTAATTCAATGAGAAGTTAAAATTTATCCGATGAACTAATATGATAATATTAGCAGTATATATTTTGAACAATATGAACTCTGTTGTGTTAATACACCACATAGTTCTCATGAACTACATCTCATCGTATGATCCATATGAAGAGTAGATGATAATTTTATCAGAAAATTCACGTTTTGAAATCGACCTTTTTTATGTCCTTGATCTATTTATCCACTAGTTTGTGTTTAATACACAAGAAAGGTAAGAGTTGTCTCCATCTAGTGTACGGCCCTGACATGATATGTTACTCAGTGCAACCTTGAGATTTGCAACGGTTGAGTTCGATTCATGGTTGAACGACCTCGAGAGGACAAAGATGAAAACTATCCTGATAAGTTGGCAAGTGAAGGGAGAGAGAGAGAGATAGTGTTATATCTTTTGGAATTGTGCCCCTATCAATATATGATGCAATGATACCACCAATTAGAGAACAGCGAATTGTCGATCGGACCAATGACGCATAGAACCCGTACGAGCAGTCTAAAGTTCTTGTCGGTACTTCTTCCTGCCTAGCCCTACCTGTTGAGTCCGGAACACCAATCTCATCTTCTGGTATGTGAATCATATATTTCAAACATACTAGGTTTATATACAAACCAAACAGACCACATCGGATCACAAAATAGAAAACACCATTTGTACATTAGCCAAATGTGGCTGTGAATGTACGAGACTGTTATTTATATTTATTTATTTGAATACATAAATATTGGTAAAAGGAGACACCACACAAGTCACTTGATTTATGTGTGGGCCGTGATACTGCCCGGGTGCCCAGATCGAAGCAGGTGATTTACTTAGGAGGCCCGGAGCCTCCAACCCATAGGTATGATCCATAAGGTAGTGGAGCAGCGTCAGGAGATACAGTCACTTCTATGAGGTATTTTGGAGTTGTATTGTAGTTTTGGATCCATTGTTAATTAGGAATTATAGTTTCTACTAGATATTTGTGGACGGTCGTGTGCTTGTATTATCGCCGACCTATATTTATTTTCTCCTTACAACCTTAAGACTGAAAGCTTCTTCCATACTTCCAACCTTTTGTTTTCCATCCAAGGTTTAGAAGTAGAAAATTTCTAGATATTACGAAGCGGTTAGAAAGTCAGATGTCAACGTGTTATATCAAGTCCTTGAGCCCCTCTGGGGCTACTGCCGGTCCCAACCCCGGATAAAGGAGGAGGGTTTGGCATGGGCTTAGCGTCCCCATCCCGTAGAAAACTAACTCGCTAAAAAACGCTAACCAGAAAAAATTATTCAAACCATTTAAGCTCTGTCTTGGGAGTTCGATCTTCATTTAGAAGAGTTATGATGCCTCATGGTGAAAGCCGAGTTCCTTCGAAAGTCACGAGGCTAACGCCCCTGCTGACAACGAGAGCAACCATTAATTTAGGCACATGGAATGCTCGTACACTGTGGGAGACGACCAGGCGAGTCTTCCAAATTGCTACAGAAGTGAAGAGATGCAACCTGGAGGTGCTTGGAATATTAAGTCATTGGCTTATTTTTGTATGTTAACAGTAGTTTTAATTTTTTTTACTAATTAGTCTCCTAACCACTAATTCAGTTGGTTACCAACTGATTAGTATAATGATCTATTCTCTTTTGTTTTCCATCTTTCATCTATTTTTATTTATGAATCCTATAGCCTAATTTTGATTTACATTCCGATTGGATAACTTCACAATTGACCACTTCTATTGGTATTGGTGGAGGTGGACGACCAACCGCTACTAATGGCCAACAACAACCTCATATTCTTCTGCCACCATCTTCTACATCAACTATTGTACCTTGTTTTGGACAAGATTTACCTGAGGTCACAAATACTAACATGTTCAGTAGTACTGATGCCAATTGTAATACTAATATTGCTATGAATATAAATACAAATAACTCGAGTATATCAACTACTAATATTACTACTTCTACTTCTACTACTGTTATCACTAACAGTAATAATAATAATAATAATAATAATAATAATAATAATAATAATAATAGTTTATTTCAACAATTATGCTTTGAAACACAATGGTCACGAGCTAGAGCTATATGTGATCAATTGAATATTATTTTAGAAGTATGTCAAAGTCAATCACGTCAGTTGTATATGAAACAAAGATCCATTCATAATTGAAGTACATTTATATATACAGACCGTCCACCTTGTAAATTAACTTGGATCATTTTATATATATTCATTATTTCAATTGTATATCAAATTACTTTTCACATGTAACTTCTTGTATGTATGAATGTGTATGCTTGTTTGTTCTGTGTGTATGTGTGTGCGCCCATGAGTCTGAATGAAAAGTGATTACACTCGATGATTGTATAGTTTCTAACTTTATTTTCATATAAATCTTAACGCTAACAACCATTCTGCCTTCTTCTCGTTCTTATTCTTCCTAGATTGGGTTGATTAAATAATTTTTATCGTAGCATTACAACTCATCGTCTATTCATGAAACTAAAATGTTCTTATTTAAATCCTGAACTGATCTAAGTTAGACCATCAGTTAGTCATCATTGGAAACCTGGTGTTATATTTGAAGAGATTATGATATTAGCTAAACCAGTTAACACTCCGATACCATCACTTGGCGGCCTGCTTGAATATCTGGGCTACCTGTTCCTCCGATCTAGATATTTCATCAAGTTATCTGTTTTGTTGTTCGTTTTAGCACATCATTATGTCTATTGTGCGCACAATCTATTCAGGCGCGTTTATGAAAAGTTTACAAACTTTCGCTATACAGGATACAAAAAGGTACAATCAGCGACATCATGGTGGCTGGCAAAATGCATTGAAACGAATGAACATTAATCAAATGTGGATTACCGAACTCCTAACATCTAACTGGTCATAATTCAAAATTTATCGTCACAATCGATCAAGATATAAGAAAAGGAAACTTGTTGAAATACTTTATGCTGAGAATTCTATGTTGTATCAAAAATATAATGTTGAATAAAGCTTTTAATAATAATAATAATAATAATAATAATAATAATAATAATAATAATAATAATAATAATAATAATAATAACGGAACAAAAGTCAGCAACACAACAACATGCTAAGTTAAGTTGTTTCATTACGATTCAGCCTCGCTAACTAGACGTAAAAGACGAAGAATAAAAAGTATGTATATTCCACGAAGAGTTGGGAGCAGGGACAAACAAGCACACAACTCATTCGTATATTTACAATACAAAAATGTCCTTAGAAACGTCACAAGAGAAAACGGACCTATGACATTTAAGTTCCTTTCAGGTGGGAAATACAAATCGAAGGTAAAATAAAAGCTTTTGGCGCGAAAATGAGAAATTCAAATTCTCTTAACAAAGTTACGAAAATATGACGTTTGCCAAGTGATTTCTGTGAATCTAGCATTTCCAACACCTGAAAGCACTGAACTCTTGGTATCCATTGGTGTTAGTATGTTCCCTTAATCCATACATGATTTTGGGCAATTATCTTCTAGAGCCAAACTCCGCCCGTTGCTCTTATAGGGTCACTGCCGGTCCCAAGCCCGGGTGAAGGAGGAGGGTTGGGCATGGGGTTAGCGTCCCCATCCCGTAGAAAACTAACTCGCTAAAAAAACGCTTACCAGAAAAAATAATCCAGTAATCTTCCAGAGCCTACGTTTTCGCACTTGAAGCCGAAGGTCCTGGGTTCGATTTCCGCATGTGAAGTCATGAATGTATATTGTTGAAGAGTCTTATATTAGAATGAAACAGTATTTTAGTACTTCTAGGTTTTCAGTGATGGTCTACCTTAGATAAGTTCAGGATTTTAGTAAAATTCAACCATCTTCACAATCTTATACTCACAATTGACATTCTCCTAACGCAATTTATCACTTAATCAATAAATGGTAAATATAATACCACACAGTTTTTTCTAGTTGTAATTTCATTCCAATTTTCAGTGACTTTTCTGGTGATTCATAGTACTACAGACTCTAAGGTTGATTCTGTTCATTTGAATTTCGACTTGTTAAAGTTTATAGGTAGAAGGACTTATTCATTACAAATGTAAGTTGATCAAGAATACTGATATTTAACCTATAAAAGTTTCCAGATTGTGAAATTTGTACTGTGTATATAAAGAATAGAATATAGTCAATGTTATATGCTTTTATGTTGTTCATCCAGGGTATTATCAGATTGCATAATCTCTTATTCCCATATGATAAGATCATGCATTATAGTGAAAATGAACAGTCGGTAAACTCATCTGGGGTCAAAGTCTCTAAATCTCTGTTAGGATAGTCGGAAAAATATACCAATAATTATCGTGTTAAGTCTATGGTGTCCTTGAACCTTAAATGTACATTTCTTATTGGTCGATGTTTATTTCACTTGTTAAATATTTTGTAAATGTTGTTTCCTATTTTATGGTACGATGTGGTGTGCTTGATTGGTATATAACAAAGTATGTATGAAATACAACGATTCATAACTCAGAGGCTGTGACTTGCGTTCTTGACTCAACTGGCTGGGACAGACTGCGAAGCGGGACCAATCAGGGCACTAGGTCGTTCATACGTGTTTTCCGTGTCACTGTACTGCGATCGATCAATAAAACGCTGTTTATCAAAACCTGCAAGTCACACCCGTTACAACAATCTCAACAACTATTCTTCGATTTTAAGTGTTTTTAAGCTAACAATTAGCATGTTTATCTTGTAGATAAAATTCAATATTTTCTTGAGGTGATAAGTACCCAGTTCGTGCCACTAGACAAATGTCAACACAGTCTTTAATACGTTAAGTTCACCTATAACATTAAAACATCTCATTGATTCAAGTCGGAATATTTCATAGAAGACATTCAGGACATCATTGAACTATTTTCTGAATAAGGAAATACACCGGAATTATACATCCTAAAAAGTGTACCTATATATTCACAAAAACCAGTCGTTTTTGAAGATATCAGATAAAATTTATACTACTGAAAAACTTTGTAAGTACTACATAACCATGCAGAAAATTATTTATTTGAACACATATTGGTACACGGAGGCACCAAATACGTACGCGACACACAAATCTCATTTGATTTGTGTGAGGGCCGTGATACTGCTTGGGTGCCCAAACCGAAGCAGGTGGTTTCCTCAGGTAACCACACTCGGAGCTTTCAACATAAAGGTCTGATCCACAAGGCAGTAGAGTATCGTAAGGAGATGAAGTCCCAAGGTAGCCAGTGACTAACAATAGGTTCATACGCCATTTGTTCCTTCAGGATACTGGAGTCTATGTGCACCATTTGTTTGGTATCAGGGTTTTCCAATTCCCCTAGACGGATTCTCCAGATCCACCAACCTGATTAAAGCGTCACTCCGACCGTCGTTGCTTCCTTGACGTGTTGTTCGGGGTTGCCTATCATGATGAAGCAACCGAGCTATACTCGCTGGAACAACCGTTCCTCAAAGTCCTACCATGTCAGACAGGTCGGTTGAAGAGCGGTAAGACTAAAAGCGAAAAACCCAAGGTCCGAAGGCGAAGTCGTACTACTGACTGTACAGAGGTGTGACGGCAGTAAGGTGTTTCCTTCAGATAACCAGCATGACAGTGATGCTGCCTTTCCACACGGAGGGTTGGGGTTAGGAAAGGTCGATCTCAAAAATGCACACCTCGCCTTACCCAACGGATATCCGTCTCCAGCGTTAAGGTCTCAACAAGCATGGAGCTAACACTAAAATTACCCATAAAAGGCTGTGTGTTACCGACGTCAAGCAGTTGTCCCTTGGGTACTGTGATCACACTCTCAGGTAACCAAGACCACCTCTCAGATACCTCCATAAGAACCGTTCCACGGCGTGGGCAACCGGAAAGTGATAACCGCCCTCACACTTCTAACAGCACTCAAGACTGATTAAAGCGTTGGATATTCTCTTTTCGTCTTCTCAATTTCGTAAACAACAGTAATACCACAAGAAGGCAGTGAATAGGACTTTTCTAGCAGCGGCTCTATACGCGTGGCCATGTGAGAGCATTTAGAGAGGTATATATGAACGAAATTGTTCATGATGTCCTCTTTTGACAGTTTTATCAAAACTAAACAAAGTGACTGCTATCCGAGTTGATTTTCGTTTTCCCAGTTTTGTAAAAATCAATAATCAATCAAACTGGATTTTTGAAATCATTATCAATCCATAGATCATTTTATACTAATCAGTATAGAAAGACAAGAGAATTCATTTCAAACGCATGTAAGTATACGGTAGATATTATTTATATATGGAAGAATGAAAGACAAATTTCTACATTCTCCTCTAGTAAATATAATGATCATTCCGTGCGTGATATATTATCCTCGATTGATTCGTTTTTCTGAATCGATGATTGAATCTTTAATCGATATTGTTTTTTTTTTTATATCTATTTTCTAAGTAATTTGTATCACTAGTGTTTTAATTTAGTCTGGAGAATCAAGTTTAGTCTAGAATAATCGTTCATCTAATCTTATCAGAATGAATTTAAATCTAAGTTTTATGATGTGCAAAATAGATTTCAACATCATATCTATCAATGATCTATTGTGTTCACTTCAGCACACATTGATGATGATTCTGTGTTTGGATCATAGTTGGTTGATACATGATTGTGAAATTTATAGAATAAAAGAAAACATCATTCCAACTTTTAATAATGATTCTGAATGTCATATTACTGTGTGTGTGTGATGGTAATTTTCAATCGTTACATATCTTGAGTAAACTGAACGGTAATCGTCAGATAACTTAACATTTATGTTTCATTCTAGTTGGAATCTCATCAGCAATATGTCCATGGAATGCTTAGGGGATTCATCATGACTATGGGATTCCAACGGGTTAATGCAGTTTCATAATATGAGACCATTATGATTAAACTATTTGAGACATATATATTCCAACCTCGTCCACTTGTTATAAGAAAGTTGGATCAATACAGATGGTGGTTGTTTCAGGACAACACCATTCTGGAGCTATACTTCGGTATATTTGGGAGTAAAACCTATCCCTCAGGCCACGAGTTTACTGCTTTCAATCATACTGTTCTTCAACCTATCTGCCCAACACGTTAGGACATAAAGTGACGAGTATTCCAGCCATTATAGCTTGATTGTGTCATTACGACATACAATCAGCTATAGTCTGAGTCATGTTGACAAATATACAATACCTAGTTAGGATTCTCATGATAACCTCTACCAGTGGTTGAAGACGGTAAGTAACACCTAGAATTGATCATAATGGCGCAAATTCTTTATCTTATCATATATCTTAAGTTATTGTTCCATTTAAGAAAAGGTGAGATTTATTACTACTAAGTCTACTATTAACATCAATATCAGTATTATATCATCATACAGTATTGTTTATTAAACATCTGAGTTACAAGACTTTTACTAGTTAATCAAATGATACTACTTTTAATTGTGTAATTTGTCAGATCAACCATTTAAAGAATTAAAGTGAATAAACTCTCTCTGTTAGTAGATAAACTTCTTGTCAAGAATAATACATAAAGTAAATGATCACAGTATAGTTTATCTATATAGAGCATAAGGAAACTGATAGGTAATTGAAAAGTGTGGTTCTACAAGGGTGAGAGGAAAGCAGTTAGAAG